CAAAACGGGACGGAAAACATGAAATTTTGCAATAATCTTGCGCCACCCTTGCACAAAACGACGATCATTTTTCTAATTTCATAGATAACAGAAGATTATGGATTAGAAATCGCTAATGCACCATGTAAAATATGATCTATAGCTTTAAAAAAAATGTATAATCCAATTTTTCAGCTCAGGAAATGAGTTCAGGCAAAGAGAACCGCAGGCAAAGCAAAATATTTTCATTTTTATATAAATAAAAATCTTAAATTCCTAGTAGAATTGCATATCACAAAAATATGGACGCATAGTGTTCACAGCCTAACGCACATCAAACAAATGGTCAAATTTCTCCACGTTCCTGGCAACCTGATTACATCAGTATTCCAGTCTCGACCATCTAGATCTGTCCAGAAGTGCCCGAGTTACCGTAAATGTTTCATCGGTTCATTTGTTATGCTGCGGGTCACTGCGATAAAGGCTCACTTTAACTCTAACTTGGAGTTTTATTGGTTTTACCCTAACGGGGTTTCCAATGATTTGGCCAAGAGATTCTCGCGAAAAGGTGGACTTTATTGTTGCGACACGGCTTGCCATTATTCCCGCTTAAGTCGGCGTTATTATTCACTTAGCCAAGTAAGTAGAGACAATTTTATCAGGGAACAGTTCAACTGTCAACCGAATGCAATCTTGTTTCAGGACCATTAACTTAATTGTAGTGAACCCTTTCTCTGGAAGAGGCGCTCTTACAACTCAACAACATCTCGGACCGGGAAAATGTAGTTTCCCGAATGATTTATCTGTTCAAGAAAGGACTTGAATTGTTCACTGACTGCCGGCTTTTTCATATTTTGACTTCTATAAATCACAACGTTTAAGTCTTAACATTCATCTGCAAGAGAACGCGGACGTTATTCATTTGGTGTCTAGAATTTAACAGATTCGGCATTCAATTGCCAAAATTGGCGTCATTAAAAACCAATTTTTCATCCATTGTGAAAGTGTGCATGCATATGTACAGATAATAATTAGAGGTTTTCTAACAGTTGCCAAAGAACTAATGCTTCTTAAAGATATTATATTCTATCCTATTCTGATATTTCCTAAGCGTTTATTTTCTATTGTAGAGGGGAATGAGTAATCCTAACAAATGTCAACCGGTTAGTGACTAGGCGCACTAAAAAGCATACTGAAAGTGAATCCCGAGTAGCCGTCGAAGAAAATCGGCTTTTGTTATCTTTTTTGCCATTCGCGATTATCGCGCCCTCCCCGGCCAAACATAAATTACTGGAAAACTCGGGCTTGATTTCCACCGCAAGTAAGGGCAATCTTACTTAGTAGAATTTATGACGGTTCCAGATTTAAATTTAGTGCCTCACTTGTAAAATGGAATAAGGTATTTAATGGCGGCCGGGCCTACGCCAATATGCCTTGATCTTAGCTCATAAAAACCTTTGCCTCCTTTTCATTTTTCCTTCAGTTGACTGTCTTGGTTTGTTACTAATACTTCAAGCAATCAACAGCCCAGAAATATACTAAACCGATCATTTGGATGATCGTGCATCGGCAGTCGGCGCCCCAAACAGCTGCAGCAACACATGAGCATCATCAGTTTGCGCACAGAACGAAAATAAATTAATTTAGATAAGTTAGATATTGTTGAGGCGAATTCATTTTTTTACAATCCGATGGGTGGATATTTCGCCTCAAAAATTCTTGTCGTTAAAAAAGACAGGATTTCCTCACGTCTTTTATTACAGATTGATAAATAGTACTCTTATTTGGCAATAATATTGTTGCGAAGAAAATAAATCAGAATTGAGTCGTCTGTTAACAAGAAATTTCTTCTAGGTTGATCAGAAAAAACTATATTGTAAGCAACCTGGGGAAACGGAGCCCCGAGCGGCAACACTGGTAGGCGGGTCACACCCAGGACGGGAGTGGCAACATGGGCGTTACTTCATGGCTGGGACAGGAGAGGGCGCGACGGTCCTTCCGGGCAACCACGGAGAACATCCGTGGGGTTGCCAGGGGAGATGGATTATTATTGATTTGATGGTGACGGCGCATCGATTGTATTCTTCCTTAAATTTAACCCGAACAATATTTTTCCTCATTTTGCCAACTTTAAATTGGATTCAGAAGCGTAATTTAGCTGAAGTATAAAAGAACAAAATGCATTATTGCAGACTTCATAGGGAACCATTGTAAACTTTTCGTAAAAACGGAAGGGATTTCGGTATGTATGGCAGGAAACAGGAAGAGAGAGTATTCTTTTCGTGAATATTTATACAGTTATTTTACATTTTAAATGGAATTCTATTCTATGGAAATTCATGCAACTGACTGAAAAACGTACATATTTTGGAAGAAACAAAGTTATGCAGAAAATTCATACAATGACGCAACGGTTTTTTAAAATAAGTACTGGTTTTAGGCTCTAACAGTAAAGATGAAATAAATTATTGATGTACTAATATTCTCGAATACGCTCGTGCTCATAATAGATAGAATATTTAACATTTTTCTAGTGCTATTAAAACTAGGCCTGTGTAATACTGTGTCTTAAGACACTTGTGCGTCCAAGCGCCGCGTCTCTTACGACGCGGCACTTTTAACAACACTTAACATTTAGTCTCATTCAAGATGGCAGACTTCGGATAAAATAAATACTTTGAATGATGGCAAACACTAATGCGAATGACACGCATATTATGAATATTTCGCGGTTATTGTAATTATATGGCGCATTAGATCCTTCAGTATGAATAAATTGCTAACTCTCTTAATACGGGCCCTATTTCGATCATTGAAAATTCTTTCTAAAAAGAGTGGTTTGGTCTAAAAATCGTGTTTAGCAAACTTGAAATCAGTTGAGGATCTTAAAAGTTATAAGAGTTTGAAGGTCGAAAAGACGATTTTCCAAGGCAAATGATCAATCTTTTCTTTGTGGATTTAAGGAAAAACAGCTTTTTGCATGTGTAAATTTTCTGCGCAACTGTTGATATCGGGCCCATTTGAAAATTTTGAAATTTGTGGAAAAACGAACGATTTTCTTTAAAAACTGCATCTCGGAAAATTGCAATCGGTTAAAGTCGCAAAGACGAGTTCCCGAACAAAATACGTTGAATTTTTCCGCGATTGACTCAAATCGCGAACCACTCGACATCACGAAATTCATCGTCTTCTGTTTTTATTTCCCAACAACTGAAAACTGTTGTGGCGCGCTGTGTCGCTGTATCAACACACTGTGAACACCTGCAAATCCACTGTGTTACTCAGACCTAATTAAAGCTGTGTCGCAGTTGGTTCTGGTGTCAACTCAGTTGCAAACGCATCTTCAAACCAACAGCTATTAATGTGGCGATTGAAAAAAAGACTGTTAATGATCCGATAAATCCGTCGATTTAAATCAGATTCGTAACGCACGAGCTGAGCTGTCGTCATCGGTCATTACGGGTGCAAAACGCATAATTTGCGAACAAAACGCGATCGTCCTTAACTGGTCATAAATTTCGGTTTTTGTTTCCGGCGAATGTCCGCGTGCTCCGGGTAGATAAATTGAAATTACCGCCGCATCATATTGGGTAACCATTAATCAAAACGGGGCCACTTGATCCGCTTTGGCCCACGATGCGATTACTGCGATTAGGTATTTTGCGCTGACAGTGTTGTCCCTCGAATAAAGCTGCTCCTTTATAATCCCCGTCTCATCGTATTGTATCTCTAACCATAAAGGATTAAATCCAATATTTTTCCTGCATGCGA